ATCAAGTTCATGCATGTATCTCAAACCATTAGTAATTTCCAGACCGAGTTTGTATTTGTCTTTCCATTTTAAACTGCGAAAGTGTTGCATCAAGTGAATACGCAAAGTTCCGCCGTTAGCAAACTCGAAAATCATATGATAGCCATCATCTTCGTCTTTAGATTGAAAAAAAAAAATACATATGTCATGTATAGAAATAGATTAAGATATAGATTCTGATAACACAAGTATGCTTACAGACACCTAGAAATCGGATAATATTCGGGCGACCGCTCACTTTCTTGTGGTTTTTCAGCTATGGATACCAATCGTATGTAAATTATTAGCTATAAATGATAACATAAAACGGCGTACGATACTAAGCAAAAAAAATAAAATAAAATAAATTGACAAACAACCTCTTTGACAAATTTTTTGTACAATTTTTCATCGCATTCGCCCTGACGTCGAACTAAAGTTTTCATTGCGACAGGTATTCCAGTGCGTTTCATTGTTGCTTTATATACTACTCCATATGCACCAGTAGCGATAGGTGTACGTCCCACTTTAATGTCACCTTCCGAATAGCATTGGATAAAACCCTCTTGAATACTTTTGTCTATCCATTCTATGTATACGTTACTAGGTCCCCGCTGACCGATTACTTGAGATCGCGAAGATCGCTCGTCGATTTCCATCTGAGAAGATTTATCTGGAAACCCGGTCACTAATCGATCAAAGTTACTTTGCTGTAGAGACATTTGCTGCTGAATGTTTGTTTCGTGCGAATCAAAGATAATTGGACTACCCGTTGTTGGATAGACCTATAATGTCATAATAGTATGCGATTGAATGTGTGAACTTGGTACAGTTATCTCACAGTAAACCGAAATATACGAACCTGTGATTGGAAATACTCCGATTGCTCGATCGGAAAAACTCCATGCATGTCTTGAACCGAGTTTTGTCGGTCCACTTGATGTTCAGATTGCATCGGCGGCGTAAATAATTCGCTTGATGTTTGTATTTCACGCTGTCTCGAATACGGGTACTGCGACAACCACCGTTGACGTTGCTGCTGATGCGTCAGCAGGTTTTGTCGAGTAGATAGGGTGTCGTTCTGTTGCTGAATAGAACCTGTAACTAGTCGTTCATGCATAGCCAGATTGGAACCGTCTATATACACCGGCGTTTGTTGTTCGTTTGTTAATTGCGAAATAGAATATGTTGGCAAACCACCGAAGGTAAACACATTGGTAGGTAATTGTGAAAGACTGAGCGATGATCGAGACTGTAGTCCTGCTTGCAAATCTTGATAATACACATACTTTGAGCCATCCCAATAGTATGCTCGATCATGCTGCTGTTGCTGCTGTTGTTGCACCGATTCCTCTTGTTGTTGATAGTTCTGCCAGGTTTGAGAAGGTTGTTGCGACATTGTAGGTTAACTACAAGAGACTGTTACATTAAGTCGTTACATACCTATATACATGAGCCAATAAGATCACTATACTAATACTCTTAATTTAACACAGCATTCGTCAATCAGCTGATTACAATTTTTGTATTTTATTGGTCATGTTCTCAAAGACGGGTCCTGAATATGGCAATAGACGGTATAAATTTCCATCTCAATGATCGCCATGCAGCGAATAAGCGTTTGTTTTTACTTCAATATTCACTTTACTATTCAATATTCAATGTTAAGGTACGAAGGTCTTATACTTGTAAGCTCCTTTTGTTAATAACTCGAGCGGCTTCTTATAGCTAAATATCAAATGTACAGTTAGTGACCTTTATTTAACACAGGCTTTCCTACTTATAATTGATCCTCGACAATTAACTTATGCAACGGGTTTGGGATTAATTCGATAGTCAACCGGTAGGGTACAAATGTGGCAAACCCAACATACTGTACCAAACGACAAAAAAAAACTCTCCCACACCCACCCCTAAAATCAAATCAGAAATCAGAAAACCCCACACCAAGCGAAGACAATCCAGTGGTAATAAAATTTGATTCACCTGCGACGAAAAAACGATCAACTAAACGAGAGCTACGCTCATCCACGACAGTGGAAAAACTTTCTGATTTAACGTCTACCAAACTGACGTTACCTTCCTTTGAAGAACAAAACTAATATTATCAGTGTTGAGTAATAAATAAATTATATCGTATTTACCTAAAATTTTTCTCAATGTTAAAACGTGAAACTTTGTTCTAATAGTACAAACGCTTCTTTCTGACAATCTTGACGTGCAATCAATTAACTTTTATGTATCTTGCGTATCGCACAAGATCGTAATAAACGCCGCTTAAAACAATTCGATTATTATTGTTATCTTGAGAAGTCGAACACCATCTTGTAAACATCGCTGGCATTCCATACCGTAGTTACTTCTCCAACCACACAAACAGTCACAGCAGACAAATACCAGGCTGTGTGACTTATTTTTTTTTATCCCAGAATAATTAACAATTACGCAAGGGCGCAGCCCCAAAAAAGATAATATTCTAGTTAACATAGACAAAAGCCGTAAACAATGTTTATAATATACTGTACATTGATATCTGTACATACAAAAGCAAGCATCAATCGCTAGGGTTAACTTTATTGATAAATAATAGCATTAAATACAAGGTACTCTAGAAAAATGCGCTTTTTCTTCTTTTCGATTTTTTTGCTTTAGGTGCAGGACTTACATCACTGCTTCTCTTGGTTCTCGGTGGCGAACTTGGCGGGGATGTAACAGTAGATGTGGGATGTACATTTCTAGGTGGGCGAGATACAGCTTGTTTTAAAGCTTGCATAAGCAAACTCTTATTTACAAGTAAGATGTTTCTCAATGTTAACAACAAATGTACGAGGGTTTTTACACCTGATGACTTAGATACTGTTAAAGGAATTTCCGCTTCACAGAGATGGAAATACCTTGGTATCCCGCAAGTGTCGTTCATCATGACATTGAGAAATATCATCTCACCGGCCACTTGTATTCCAACAATACCAAATTGATTCTGCATTAGGGAACTTACGTAATTGACCCCATCTAATGTCTCCCTCCACAATTTTACGTAATCATCATTTGCTTTCTTGTCAGTACAGACAACACGTGAACTTTCAACATATAAAAGCTCGATTACCTTCTCTTCCCATCTCTCTATCGCCATAATATCAGGACTTTTACCTCTGCGCCCACTTCCAACCTCAGCCTTTCTTCGAGCTTTGCTTGCAGCACTTTGACGTTCTGCCCTGAAATTGTGAAACGAAATAATTAATAATAACGGCATAAAACCGATTGCCAAGATACTGTATTTCTACTCACGTGCTTAAGCATATATGATCTATTGGCAGATCTACTAGGCTCGCTCGAAGCAAAGGAATTATAACATCTGTGATGTATGTTCCCTCACTTTGCTCACGGCGAGACGTTCTTGTTGCAAATGCTGGATTGCTCCAAATCTCACCCCTAATCGATTACTTATTACTATTAGTGTGTAAAAAAAAAAATTTTTATTTAGAAACTTAAAAAAAATACTTGCAGCACGCTTAGGATATGTTCTGACACTTGTACTAAGGTCGAATCGCTTTCCTTCCATCTTCTGTTGTGGAAGACATTTTTCATATCTTTCGAAACATCTTTCTGAGCAAAATTTTCAATAAAGTTGTCGCATGTAGAAGCGACTTGCTCAGAAAGAGTGCATCGCATATTTTCCCGCGGTTGCTAATAATATTATTTAGTGAATTAAAATCAAATTTTCGTTTGTTTCTTACCACAAAGACTTGCATATGTCTATTTTTTAGTCTCTTTACAATAGTCGATTTATCACTTAAGACCATATTTGCTTCATGGTCTGTCCATGAAAGACCTGCAAGATTAATGTCGTTTACTTCTTTTCTAAGAGCGCTATAGAGCAATACGTCTGTTTCTAATATCGGATGCTAAACATAAACGATTATTAAGCTATAATATTGCGATAAATCACAAACCAATTGTCTAATGTCTACCTTAAGCTTCTCTTTCAACAAATCAACATTTTCTTCTATTTTATCTCTCGTTTGATCAAGCTCTGGTTCCTCATTCTGTATTATTTAGTTAATTTAGTCAAGTAGATTGGCTTTATTAAAACTATTTGCAGAACTTATAAAAAGTATCTTATGACTAAAATCACATGTAGATTCTGAGCAATCGCATTCATGGCCGAATAGTATACCATGTTTAATCCTCTTATAGCGTTCAATCCGACTACATTTCTGTATCCGTTCTTCATCTACGACAATTAAAATAATAATGCATATACCGGTATATGAAGTTTAGTAGTTATCGTTATATAACATTTAATAATTACCACACCGCGCGTCACACACAATCAAAATTTGTAGTTAAGCAACATCAGTTTAGTTTCGGTGTCACGCTCAGCCTAAGGGAAATGCGCCCTCGACATCGGAAGGATTTCATTTGTCCTAACAATGTCGCTCTTCCGGATCCTGACCTCCCCGCAACCTACCGCAGCAACGAGCCGAACTTTGGCTTGTCGTAGATCATCATATATGTTATCTGTTATTATTATTATTATTATCATAAGAAAAAATTCAACTAACCCCTTGTAAGACTTCTGATATCATTGCTTTTCGTTCGTCGTCATCGATTTTTGTTAAAGCGCTATTCACCGCACGATGAGCTAAATCTTTAACAACGTCATACGGTGGTATATTTCCATTCTCCATTGTCAAATAAACAACGGTCGCTGAACATATAGCATCAATAGGTCCTTCTAACAAAAGGGTATTGATTCTTGCAATAGTAGACATCGTTAGGTAGACGGTTAATGAAAGATTAGAGCGAGCTATTACAAAATAAAGGATTTTATCAGTGAATTACCAATGATGACAAGTGATAATATTGTTATGCCGCCCTTTTATAACATTGATCGAGCGGAGTATGAAAAAAGTTTTTCAAAAAAAAAATAAATCGTACCCCCAATTATTAATCGAATTTAAATTCCGATTATCATAGTCGTGTTTGTGATACCTGTTTTGTTGTCTGGTACATTAATATATCCGTTTATGGGTTTATTGCAGCCTTTGGCAATGATAAGATTATACAGCAATTGCTTTATAAAACATTCTGTGAATACAGAAATCAGTTCATTTAGTTGATATATATACCTGTAAGTGCTATATTATGATCTTTTACAAACATGCATACAAGGCGACCAGATGCTTTGAGCGAACAAAAAGTAAAGAATCTAGACCAGTTTACGATTGAAGAGTGACACTCGCATATTGCAGCGATGAGAGTAGGCGTGTTTTATTTACCTGCCAGGTCGTACAACCCGACACGTCGTACAGCCCATAATATTCCTATTTATGGAGGAGTGGGATAATATTTGAGCCTGTACGACCTGGAAGGTTGTGTGACCTGGCAGGTAAATTCCCGATTATGTGTTAATAATAATAAGAAAATTTTAGCCTTACATAGTGATAGGTCAGATAAGATAGATATTCACTTATAGTTATACATCAGCAAGCGAAAAGTAATATCACAATATGGAAATAGAAGCTTATCCAATGCAAAGAAATACATTTTTGCTGACAGAATATTGTGTGACCTTCGAAATATCCGCTGGTGCTCAATAGATATATGAATAAAGATTTAACTATGGAATGCCTACCACAGTTATCGACTAATATCTCCTGAATAAAATATAAGAGATGTCTCATTCTGGAGATGTCTTCAATAGCCAATTGCTAACTAAGCCTGCAAGTCTGTTGTATGTGTCAGATTGGAATAACAAAGACAATCCGGTAACAGCATTATTATAAGAGTATTTATTTGACATCATGACATTCATCCTACTACATGTAACATACCGCATTTGCTATAAAAATATATGTTATCTAATATTTGTAAATTTAGCGTAAAGAATGAATAATAATCTATATATGTAATGGCAAGAACTTGTGGTATTACTACCGTATAATGCCTTCATCTTAATTGTTTACAAATACTTGAATCTTACCACACAATACAATAATACTACACGTAACGATGTATTACTGCACTGTCGATTATTAGGGTGGCAATTTAAGTTATAAATGATGGCAGGTTTGCGACAAGCGCGTCAAGCTGTTGAGCAACTAGTCTTGCAATTACATATCTTGGTTAAATTGACTAAGCTTTGAGCTGAAGCAGCTTTATGCAATGTTACATTTCTATTAGGTATGGTTCAATTATTTCAAGATTTATTGCACCATAGCCATTCGTGTGGATGGTGGCGATGCGAATTTAGCTATACGAAATGGTTTAGTTTGTTTTTCATGCTAATATTACTGTATCAGGAAATCGACAATTGAAGGCATATGCATTTTGAACGCAAAAAATACTGTATAGGCTTTCAAAAGTTCAGTGTATCCGTTATCAGTCGTATTACAAATATAGGCGAAGCTTTCTACAATGTGTACAACTGTATGCCAAGCTATCAAGCCAGTTTAAACGTAATGCAAGATAAACAGCGGTCTCTATACTGTATGATCTGCCATATGTAACAGAAGTTCAATAATGAGAAGGAAAGAAATAAACTTATACAAAAAAGATGCTTGGCCATAAGCTAACAGCTTCATTATGGCCTGTGTAATTAACAATGATTATACAAATCATATTTATATTAGCCATTTCTGGACGAAATCCCGACTCTAACATATTCCAGGGAAGCATAACCCAATGAGCGTAAAGCTATTGACATATCGTTTGGGTCTTTATGTTTTTAGTTAAGGCGCGGAATACAAGTAATTCACCATTGTCATAGACTACCGAAATTCCTAAATGGCTTCAGAGTTAGCTTCTGGTTCAGTGAATATAAAGAAATCCGTACCACTCAATGTGAGTCTTACTTAGGCAGAATGTGTACGTGGAGGTTGAATAACTCGCGATGTGCTAAGTGAGCAAACAATAAATCGTTATATTATGTTTGTACTTTAGAATGTAAAACGCTCCTCCATGTTCGCTAGAGATATTAAACATTAACTCTCTCTCACTTAACACTACCAGCACTTAGCCTTTATGTTGGTTTACGTTTATTAACGGTCGTCATGAATACGCATAGTAAACCCACTATGTTACGAGCCGACGGACAGTCTCGCTTTTCTTGTAATGCCCATTAATTTGATTAGCCTATTGGCATTTTATATATTTCTTGAAATTGAACAAAAAGGTATTCGACAATCCATTCATGTGAATTGAAACGTAGCATTTTTCTGAGCAGTTGTCTACTAATTTATCTATCAAACCTTTTCCTTTACGTACATACTCGAAGACTGTCACTGATGTGGCTTTAGTCCAGTACTAGCAATAGTCGGTACACTTAGTTATCATGGGGCATGAGACAATGGCAATATCCGAAACTACACCCAGTGGAAAAAAGCCACCGGACACTTTATATATTCGAATACTGCTCGGGATAATGTATAATAAAATAATTGTGAATTTTTACCATAATAGTTTAGTATCCATAAATAATTATATAGTGTAACAGTCGCGAATATTGATGTAAACAAAGTCAATTAATAACAAAGTTTTCTTCGATCTCTCTTATTCATTACGTAAAAATTGCGCGAAAATGAGTAACTAGCTTTCAGTTAAGAATAGAAGAGAAACTTGCTGAATGTGAACATGAAAAATTATTACACTTTCAGAAGATGGGCAATCGGTCAATAAAAGAATGGAATGAAATTATTTGGAGTGATAAATCCAGGTTTTATCTCTTTAGTGATGGTCCACAGCGTGTCTGGTGAGAAAATGGTAAAAGATTTAACCTGGAAAATTTTGTACCTACAGTAAAGCATGGTGGAGGTGGCGTGATGTATCTGTGGGACAGGATTGGGTCCTTTGGTACTAGTAGAAGGCAAATTAAATCGCTTTGAATATATACAAATTTTGGAAAACAACTTATTGCCATAGATTCACAAGAAATTCAATCATCGCTGTTATTTTTTCCAACAAGATAATGCGCCCATCCAAAGGACTGGATGTCTCAGAAACAGGTTAAGATTCTCTCAAAGTGGCCCGCACAATCACCTGATCTAAACCCGATTGAGAATCTATGGGGTAAACTACAAAGAAGAGTACGAAAACGAAATTTACACCCCGCAAATAAGAGAAGAGTGAAAAACTATTTCCAGGAAAGCCTATAAGAAGTTGATCGATAGTATGCCTAGACGTGTTCACGAGTGTATTGAGAGGTGTGGGGGTCCAACAAGCTATTAAAAAATATTCCCATTTTGCATTAATGTTTAAATAAATAAAGTGTCCGGTGACTTTTTTCCACTGAGTGTATGTAGTACGCGCAAGAAAATTACCAAAGTCAACTGAGCTTTATTTTGAAATTGTGAGCAGTAACTCCATATTTATAAGTTTAAATTAAATAAAGGTATGTTATGTAGTATCATACAAGACAAACGATCATATTATTCATATCTTGTAGTGTGGTTAAATATAAAATTATTCAACCCCGCCCTTACTATTACTACAACTAAGTAGTCTTGAACCGAACGCATATGCCACACAGGCAAGTGTACATAATACAGTAATACAAAGGTAAACTTTTTTGTTTAAGATAAATTAATCAATAAACCTTTTTCTCTGTTGTTCATACTTCTTCACAAATGATTTAATTTTGGGTTTTCGGCTTTTTTATTGGATGTCTCTCCCGTTGTTGCAGATTCTTTGGTCATTTCAGTCTTGACTTCTACTTTCATTTCGGTCTCAGTCTCAGTATCGCAGATCTTCTCCTACGCACTTTAGTAGTTGCAGTAGACATAGTGGCCTCTACGGCAACGGCCTTAGTAGTTTCTTTCTTAACCTCAGTAGATTCTTCTTTGCTCTCTTCTGTGATTTCTGTGGTTTCCATGGTCTTTTTTGCTAAGAAATTATGGAATGGGAAGAGTGACTTGCGTTTGCCCTCGATGACTACTGGTTTAAGCAATGCAGGAGTCTCAGCAGATGTTTTGCTTTCCAATTTCATTTCCGCCTTCTCCTCCACCTTCTCATACTCAGACCCCTTTGTTCTTGGTAGTGGTGGAATGTGAGTATTTGATTTATATTGTTTATCCATATGATAATTTAATAGGTCGCGGCGCAATTTACTTGGTAATAAATCATTATATAAAGCAATCTTGGGAGGAGAGATACTGAAAATTCTTATGTAGGGAATACAATCTGCAATGATATCTTTAATTGTGTTAGTATCATTAGATGACCAGTCATTTGGATCATTTCCAAGCTCCAGTTCAGGCACTTGTTTAATGGCCCAATGTATGACTGACATCCAAATATCATCTTCATCTATGTTTAGCTCATCCCTCTTGAGAAGAGTAATCAAAGTCTCCTTTGATAAGGTTACAAGATCGTTTGATTTAAAGATAATATCTGGGCGGAAAACCATGATTCGATTACAGTAGGCCAGAAGTTTGTTTAAAGAAGTTGTGGATGCAGCATACTTGTGAACTGTGAGAATATTCTGTTGAATCCATTCTTTTTGTTGATCAATCAAATAAGTTTCAATGGCAGTGAGGAGATCAAACAGTTCAAACTTGCTTGCTCCATCCAAAAGGCTAATCCAACCTATATTCGTGCATGGATCGTAGGACATTCGCCCAGTGTAAATATATCTACGATGAATCGTTAAGATTACGATGAGTATTACAGTATTACCAGCGTTGACAACGTTGACAATTCTATGAAATTTACCTGAGCAGTATTTCGAAAACATCAGGTTTCACATCTTCAAACGTTATGACTGTCTTTTGAGTCTCTTTAAGCGTCTCTTTATTCTCGGTCAGGCTATTCCCAATGAATTTGCTTCTTGTACATAATATTACCGCATGAGCGAAAAATACTTTGCTATTTGGCTCCTTTCCAACATGGATTGAAATATCGGTATATTTGCCGCTTTCATACAGTTTCTCATAATCAGCTGAGAGATTCGAAGACAAATCAATAAAATCATCCATTGCTTACAGAGTTTCAAAGGTGAGGTGATATAGCGATAGATAGCAATTCAGTGCTGATGTGAACAATCCTGTGTAACATGATCTGTGATACTAAAAATAGTTACCTTAGATTTTTATCGATAACTCATAAGCAAGATGCGTATACAATACACAGTTGTCTGACAAAAGTATTGATAGAATATCAACGTAATCTTGAATGTAATGTTACAGAGAATGCAACAGTCAGAGTATAATCATAGATGGAGGGTACTGTATTGGGTCAGTTATTTGACAGGAATCAACGGTAGTGGTACATTTAGTTTAGGATTGTTAATGTACCAACTACATCCATTATTATTATGTCATTGGGAGAGAGAATGTAGTTATCTTAGACTTCCACTTGGACGTGAATAGCTTTATTGGCAAAATTTAGGAATATTCCGTTCGCTCTGAAAAATCTTTTATGGAATCTTTGAATTGAACTTTCTTTCAAAGTAGATCATAATTTATTTGGGGCTTCGCCCATTATTAGTGTTAGAATGTGGGTTGCTGTTGACAAGCATTGAGCCAATGTAATTTATGATTTTGTAATAGTGCTCATACAAAGTTATATCGAAATGAATGGTAATGGGTTCGCTTGCGAAGTTTAGGAATCTATTAGTAACTGACATTCTGGTTTAATTTCTGTTCGAGCGTTAATATTCAGCACATGTACGGCAGTTGAATCGAGGTGAATGAACATGTTTTTTTTTTGTTATCAGAAAGGAGATATAGTATAAACATTTTTTTTCTAGTTTTTCCAAGTGTTACCTTATTTATATAAGTGTTAAAAATGAGAACAAAACTTTACATTTTCCTGTATCAGTATTATGTTAAAATGTACAAAAGGGTAAGCGTAGCGAAAGAGACTGTTATTAGCCATTGGATATAATGTAAAATTTGGTGCATCGAAGTAAATAAGAAAAAAATTTTTGGTATTTATTTCTCTGTTATAAAAATATTTACAAGAATATAGGAATATGCTATGAGTCATCAGATTAATTTTCTACGTAATTTACTATGTTGGTATTGCTTAATGCAGAGATGCACAGGTAATAAGCCAAATAGTTTAATTACTTTCTGAACGATTGTACACGTTAGCGGACGGATAATTTGATATGCAGTACAAATATGCTTTTAAGGAATCGTTATAAGAAATAGAAAAAATTTCTTTTCTTAATTTAGTAATTCGCTTCTCAGGTTATCAGTATAAATATTTTATTCGCGCTCACTTACGATTTACCGTCATAGAGGAAGGAAAACTCATGTCCGCGAAAAGTATTTGCATTCGACGAGATGGAGTGACGGCTCACGGATTTGGATAAGATTTATTATTATGTACAAACCGATACTATCTGAATTGATCACACGAAGCATTTACACCGGAAACTAGATTATTGATGAAAGTAAAACAGTTACATTACCCACATTCATTCGAACTGGCGATTCGTACTTTCATGAAAAACTATTACATATAAATGCTATGATTGAACATTATGGTCTACCATCATTATTTCTTACGTTTCCATGGCGGAAGGTAAATGGACTCATCTCGAAAAAATTTTTAAAATCCACTGATACTCCACCTACTAACACACCACGTTATATTTTGTAATATTAAACAAATTTTAAAAAATATGTATGGAAAAAATCAGTAATCAGTAGATAGGTGAATTACTACATTTTTTTGAAACCAAAATCGAGGCACTGCGCACGTTCATACATGCCTTTGGGTTACCAAATCGATTGATAGTATGATAGATGAACACATTATTCGACCTGACAAACAAAATGAACCAGAGCTATATGAAAAAGTAGTTAAGCATCAAATTCATACTAGCCTTCAGCAATGTGGCGGACCAGCTTCATCAGGACAACAATGCAAACGCGGTTTCCAAGATGTTACTCTCCAGTGACGTATTAGTCCTATATAATCCCGTCCCGAAACTTTACTGATTTGGGTGCTCACGTGAATGCTCAATATGTCACTTCTCGCGGTCTGGGAAATCTCACAAAGTATGTAGTAAAACCAGAACCGTAACAGATGACGATAAATATCGAGAACATGTAGTAGCCAGATGTCTCGTTCAATGGAATGTATTTCTTGCCATCCGACTTATTTGTTTGATAGATGACGATGACGATAATCTTTATTGGGATGACAGCATAGACAAATATTTCGCTCGTCCATTAGATCCGCTTTTTCAACAAATCACTTATCTGGATTACTTCAGAAATTACATTACCTTTACCAAATCCACAAATTCAGCAAATTCAGAAATTTATAAAGACCAACTTAATAATTTTGTCATTCTCCAATTGTTGTTAGACACTTGAAGGTTGATGATAAAGAGCCGTTTTTTTTATCAAAATTGCTTTGCACATTATCTTTTCGATCTGAAAAAGAACTACTCGGTAAATTTCTAACCTACCGTGAATATTTAAGCCCTAATACAGAATCAGCCATCAAAATATCAAGTTCCAGCTATAAATCTCAAACCCAAATCAATTTCACAGCTTTATAATAAATTTGCGCAATGAACTCAGCTTCATTGGAGTCCAAACATTACCGAATACTGCACTCCCAAATTAAATCCCTAATTCCCTTACCACCTATGCTATCAAAGACTGTCATGCTCGATTTACCTTACCAGAAGACCAATACCGAGTCGTTAATACTATCATCTAAACCTTGGTCCAATATCGAAAAAAAAAATCCTTACTTTTTTATAACGTGCAGGAACAGGCAAATCATACATTGCCAGTATTATAGCCAACTATTTGATGCAAAAAATTGCCTTCTCTTAGCACCCACAGGTGTTGCGGCTCTAAATTTAAGTGGTTCGACTATACATTCAGCTTTACGGGTCCACCAGACAGAAGCTGGATACCATTTCATGACAAAGATTTCAACAACAAATTAAAATGTTTATTATTGATGAAATCTCAATGATCTCAGCTTCACTATTTTAAACTTATTTGCATCGATCCACAACAGTACCCAAGCATTTGGAGACATTGTTATGTAGGAGATCTAGCACAATTACCTGTACGTGGCGAATATGTCTTTCATTCGTCTGTTTGGAATTTATTTTATCCATTCTTCCTTAACCAACCATAACGTCACCAAGTAAATATGTGTACCATATACTACTGTGAATAAGCACCCACCCTTATCATAGTGAGGTGTGCTTATTCACGATAGGGTCAACTCTTATCGGCATTATTAAATTGATCGGCAAATTATTACGTAAAGTATAATCCACAACAACGTTAAGGGGTAGCTTACAATAGTAATTGCAGTAACCAGAAGCATACTATTATTGTGAAATAAAAATTTTTGATTTGTATACTTACGTAATAAACTGTGGGTGGGGGGGCACATCATGCAGTTAATCTAGGTAGTCTTGGGGTGCTTATTCACGATCGAAAATTTTACTTATAGGGGGGTGCTTATTCACGATGGGTGCTGATTCACGGTAGTATACGGTATTTACTTCTATCAAATGCTGGAATAAATAAGATTCGGCAATAATGGAATCGCTTGCTAACATAATGGCAGGGTAATATGTGATTATATTATTGTAAAATAAGGCTAAGACAGGTTGTTACAAGAAGCTAAACTTGACCAGATTCAACGTTGTCAGTATAGTATATAAGCAGAATGTATGCCAGCATAAATTGCAGACTAAATTATGATCGGGTTATATAATTTGATAGGCAAAATAATATTGGTATTTGAAAATTAAACAAAAAAAAAAAAGTATTAATCCTCCCGACAATTATTTCTGCGTGGCGTTTTCCTGAGCGATAGTGAATGGTTTAGAGAGTTTACTTGCAGGTTTACTAATTTATCTATCAAACCTTTTCTCCTTTACATACATATTCGAAAACTGTTACTGGTAGTACTAGTGGCAGTTGGTACAATTATTAAGTTATCATTGAGACAATGTGCACTGTCCGAAACTATGTAGTACGTGCGGCATAACAGGGA